CTTAAAGTAAGATAGCTTTTTGAGAATTCTGTTTGCAGACGTAGTTTTAAAAGGTTAAAAATTTTGTATTGTAAGAATTTTGGGGCTGTCAGTAGGCTAGATAGCATTATGCCTCAGTGGTAACTGAATACCAGAAAAATAACACCAGTTCAGATCTTGAAAAAGGACCTCACCCACTGCTGACTTACGACTGAGATACTAAGTGAAAAATGTAGTAAGACTATGTGTATTTATTTTCTGGGATCAGTAGTCACGACTTTCCAGTACCACATGATTGGGTTGCAGAGATGCAGAATGAAACTTCCTGCTCCAAAATATATAAAATGAGAGGAGGAAGAGAAGAGGAAAACAGACAAAATCCCTCAGAAAACAACTTTTACTTGTGTGGATACTACAGGTGTACTAGTTTCACGTGAAGAACATGTAAATGTTCCAGGTTTCACTCTTTCTGCGTAGAAACCTGTCTAAAGATGATCAGTAGTATCCAAATAGCTCTTCTAGTTGCCGTATTTAATCTGTAAGAAGAGCTGGATCCATGCTATTTAAAATTATTCATAATTAGTAGTGAAAGATTTAGGTCTAAATTAAACAGTAGTAACCTGTGATAGCATCTGAGAGTTTTGTGTTTTTTATACCGTGCTTATCTGTCCAGGTCAGTATGCAACACGTTTCCATTTTATTGGAAAAAAAAAAAAAAAAAGGTATGAAATTTATAAGTGATTATTTCGTTGCTAAAAGAAGAGGAAATTCACTGCCTTGATATCTCTGAGACCTGTTTTCCAGTGTTCTTGATTAGAATCAAATATTAGAAGGAAAATCAAATAGTCGCTATCACATGGGTCTAAGAATATTCCTTTGCAAGCTTTGTGAAAGAAATCTAGCTATGCAAAACTAGTGCAGCAGTTTGTTACATGTTTTTCCTTGGTTAGTCATGGCATTCCTAACTGTTTGTTTTAATATACTGGAATCATGTTTAACTGGAATGTTTTAATGCCTGGTTGTGCATTCATTCATTCACATCCACGGTCTCACTGCATGTCAGTAAAGCACATGCCTAGGTGTTAAATAATCAGGCTCTCAAATTGCACATAAATTTTATATTTTTTTCAACATTATGTTGGTAACTGTTGTTTCAAAGGTTCTTAATTTTGAAAGAAATTGAATATTGGAATATATAATTTTTGACTTCCTTTATATTGAAAGTCTGAAAAGGAAAGTTAATTGTAGTAACAATATTGCCCATGTATTGAAGTATGTGCAGCGTTCTTTTATATGGTTGACAATGTTTTATGTTCTATTATTTCATTTTAAACATTGCTGGTTTTAGTGTTGCTAAATACATCAGTAATCGTAATCTTGTTAAAATTACTTTTTTAAAAAAGTAATTTTTATTTACTTTTTTTTTTTAAAAAAAAAGTAAATAAAAAAAGTAATTTTAACTAAGCACTAGCTAAAGAACCTGAAATAATCAGTTCATAATCTACTGATTATGTTCTTATGAAGCGTGTATCTTTGTCATATTGAAGCATGGTGTATGATACCATGGAATTTTTGGCTCATACTAAGTGTCCTGATACTATCAGTTGCACTACTGATTTGCCAAAAGAAGTAATAGAAAGTAATATATGGTTCTTCCTCCTGAAGCTGGTGAACTGTTTTGGGGGGTTTAGCTTAGTATATTAATTATCTGTTACTTGAACAAATCTGTCTTCATACGAATTGTGAAAATGCATGAGTGAATGACTTAAATACATCATCAACCACTTACCGTAGGGTGTGTACTTCTTTGTGTTTCCATAATTTCACTTTTTGTCCATTTCAGTACTACCTTTATATTTTTTTAATTTCACTGTATGCTCATACAAAATAAGTCTCAAATCTGAAGTAGCAAAGTGCAGTCCAGCATGCATTAGTTGGCTGTCCAGAAAAAAGTATTCTGAATAACAGAATTACCACTATAAGTGCGATATGGAGAGTCACTAATCCCTTTTATTTTTAAACTACTCTGCTGTTCTGTGTTCTGATCAAAGTTAGTTCTCTGTAAGAGTGGCAAAATCCCTAGACTCTGAAACAGTCCACTGGTGGAGCTTGATCAGTGCTCATTTAGGTAGATCACCTTAAAAGTGGTAATCATAGAATAACGTTGCATGTAGTACTATGATAAGGATTCAAAAGGCTGAATGGAAGAGTTTTTTTTGTTTGGTTTGGTTTAAGTCTTAAATCCTAGAAGTGGGAGATGTGGAATAAACTGGAGTTGCATAGGTGTTTGGGAAAAATTAAACACGGAACTATAGCTAATAGTTCTAACTATAGTTGCATAGCCTTATATTAGGGTGAACTCCCCTCCAGGAAGGGCAGAGTAAGTGACTTGGTTACCCCCACATGGTCAGCTGAACTGGTGACAGCTGCTAGCAAGAGACCTGGAAGCCAGTGACAGAATCCCACCTTGGCCTGTGCAGAGGAAAGCATGGTTTACTGGTGACCAGCACAATGAAAAGTGTGTCTAAACTGGCTTATCAGTAACAATTTAAAAAGGTACAGGCTACTGAAGATCAGTTAGAGGAGAAAAAAGAAAATAGGCTAAGGTCTGGAAAACTTGCCTGGGAAGTACAGGAAAAAATTGAAGTCAGTTGGCTGAAAGGAGAGAAGATTGGACGAAGGGGGGAACAGAAGCTATCAGTCATCTAAAGGCTGTTAAAGTCTGTGGTGAAAGGATTAGAGACTACAAGTACAAACTGTAGTGCAAGAAAGAGGAAAAAATCAGAGTTAGGTAACGTTTTTCTGAGAGTGAAGAGAGTCAAGTGGCTGAACAGACTGTTCTGGGAGGTGGGCAGGTGTATGTTACATAGGGGAGTTAGAATAGGTTAATTGTCAGGAGCTCTCGTGGCCAGTTCTGCCAGCAGCAAGGCAGAAGCTTTCCAGCTCTACTTTTTTCTGCCCTGTGAACTCTGTTGCATGCTTTTTGGTTATTTGTTCCATTGATTGCAAAGAAAAAAATATGTTAGGGGTGGTTATTCCTCAGTGGACTTTGCTCTTTTGATGCAGGTACCAGTGTGGCCAGCACCGACTGTGCTTGTGGATGTCCGTGCGGGCATCTTTTGGCAAACTTTACTTCATATTGACAAGGAAGGCTGACAGCAACAGGTAGAGCTGCTGGTGTGCTACAGCCATGGGCATGCTGCAGTTGTTCAGAGGTGTACTTCTGTCCTGAGGAGTTGCACTAGCGTTCACTGAGGTCTGGCATCTACTGACATACAACACCATCATTTCCCAGCTCCCCCTGTGCCACCATGAGGGCTGCTTCAGCATCCCTGTGTACTTGGGCCATGCGGTGGGGGTTTGTTAGCGATTCCAGAGCCAGCTGTGAGCAGGCACACCGTGTCCCAGCTGGGCTCACAGCAGGCACCTCGCTAAGCAGCCGTCAGCTTTGCTTGCCAGGCACGTTTGCTAACTCATCGTGAAAGGAGCTGACGCTGGCGTGACCGCACTGCTGCTTCCCTGGTGACGGCTGTGGGAGCCTTACTGTGGTTTTAGGTAGAAGCAGATAGGAGCAGGCTACGATCTTTGTGTAAATCAGATGAAAGGATTCAGATTTGTATGGGCTTTCAATACACCTGGCTCTCGCTGCACGGTGGGTGAGGGGCTGTCCTGAGAAGCTCCGTGCAGACACCTCGTCATGAAAACCAACATGCAGCCCTGCAGAAAGAGGACAGCGCAGGTAGGCCTGGAGTGCTGCAGAGCCCCAGGCAGCAGCTGTTCCTCCCAGAGGCATTTTCATGGACAGGTCTCAGGAAGGGACACATGGGGCCATGCTCAGGCTGTGGCAGTCACTGGGACAGGTTGCAGGTGTGCCCAGCACTGCCATGAGGTGACCAAAGCCATGAGGTGGCTGCAGGGCCTAGATTGCCCTGGCACCTCCCCACATGTGTCAGCAGTGCTGGCACCGTACCCCTCACCTGGCCCTAAGGAGAGCCTTGTTTTTTTTCCAAATATCGCATGTGTGGGTGCTGTCAGCCGTGTTCCTCACAGGCACAGCACAACCCGGGTACCACCACTGTGCACCACAGGGCTCCCGTAGCTCCATAAAGCCGGTGCTGGTGTGCCCTATGTCCAACCTGCTGGATGCGAGGAGGCTGTGTCTGGAAATACCGAGCATCACAAGGTTGTATCACCTATACGCCAAGAAAACGTCTTTTGGGGGTACGTAGTAGACAAAGGTGGGTTTTTCTTTCCTCACACGGAAACAACTTCCCTGTTTTCCAGCCATTGAATTGTCACCAAAATACTCTCAAATGCAATGATTCAATTCACCTGCTTGCTTCTGTTCTCTCCTGTGCCAGAAGTCCTTTTGGTGGAGCTGCTGGAACGTTTTCATTACTGGGAAATTTCAGAAGAAAAAGCCAGCAGACTGCAGACAGAACTTGCAAGAAGGGCAGCTGGCTCTGCCTGCTGAGCAGCTCTGCTGTGGCTGCCTTTACTTCGCTTAAAAACATGATGTACCTCGTTTTGTTTTCAGGGCTTTTATAAAGCATAGGGGAAAAAAATCTTCTCCCATTGAGTTCTCAGTGGGACGCCTTCTTCATAGTTTCAGTTTCCCTCCCCCAAAAACCAAACCCATACCTTTTAGGTTAATCAAGCGCTGTCCTTAGAGGAGTGATGCATGAAGGTGTGTGATTTGCGTTTGATTTATCTAATCTCTGAAAAGAGATGAGATTTGAAACCCACAGCAGCACAGAAAGGTCAGTCTTTTCTTATGTTTTGTTGTGGCTTAAAGATGTGTTATAGCCTCATATTGTCCTCTGCTGAGTTATAAAATTCCTGTTATAAGGTTCCCATCAGTACACCTACCTTCTATAGCTCTGTTTTTGCAGTTACTAGCCTGAATGGAAACATGTCGATGTGAAAAAAAAATACATATCATTTAAGATAGTGCATCGTTTGTTCTGACAGGATGTGTAAGTACAGTTATGTGAAAGTAGACCTTAAAAATCACTTTTTCCTTTTTTTTTTTTTTTTTGTCCTTTTATGGTCAAGCATTCTGTGGCAAGAGCTTGAAGTGTCATGTTGGATTATGTGTCTTCCAGTAATGTTTTCTCAGAACAATTACAGCTTGCAACGTTTTTCCTTCTCCTCTATGACAAGCTCAATTTTTATCAGCCATAGTCCTTCAAGCTGCTCTCTTAAATCCCTGGCAAAGTAGCACAGGGAGCATTCAACATTTATAGCCTCGCATGAATATAAGTATCTAAAAGCCGTACAGCGGTATGGAGATGAGAGGGAAGAGGAGCTAAATCACGCCCAGACTGCTGCGAGAAGCTCAGTGCCTGCCTGGCGCGCAGGCACGCTGGCGAGCTCGGCTGCTGGGCTGATCTGGCAGCTGCAGACACCTCCAGGGCTGCAGCGAGGTTTGTGGCCACCGTGGTAGCCTCCGCTGGGAAAGCCGTGGTCTGCTTCGGGTATCCCTGTGAAGCAGAAGTTACGTCTGAATTTATGAAATACCTTTCTGAGGTTTCAGGCTGCCTGGCAAGGCGTTATAGAGCTGGAAGATTCCCAAATTGTTGTGCTTTCCAGAGGCTTCAAGTGTGGGGACCTTCGTTTTATGTCATCCCAAAAGGAGACACGACAGCATCTTCCAGACTGGCGGCTGCGGATGAAAAAGGAATTACACGCTAAATTGTCGTGAGGATTCTGAGTCACAAAGACACAGGTATTATTTTTATTTAAATCACCCTGTTTTGAGTATTGACTGAAGTTGTTTCTCGCTAGATGGTTGCCTCAGACAAGACCAGAGTCAGAGGTGCTGAGCTGGGTGGTAAGAATTAAAAGGCGTGAGAAATTCCCCCTGGGACAGGGAAGCACTCAAAGGGCACATCAAAGGGGGAATTTTCAAGTATTTAGGTCAGCGGACTCTTCCAGCCTCAGAAAAAATCTGCAGTGGTTATAGGAGTGGTGGCTCCCTGAGCACCCCTGGCCGGCCTGCCCGGGCTGTAGCACAGCTTTTTCAGGGGCTGGGCTTTGCCATCATCATTTCCCAAAGGGGCTGTGGTCGTCTTCATTTATTTTTATTTTTTTGTACGTTCCTTGGTACATGTGAAAAAGCAAGGTGAGATTGTGACATTGCTGGATTAAATGAAGAACTACCAAGAAAGGGGTCTTTCTGCTTCTGTGTGAGTTCCATTTGCAATTCGCACGTAGGTTTTCAGGCTTCTGATAAAAATTGGAAAAATACTTTCATTTAACCCAGGGAAGAGAGAACAGAATGGGAAGAAAAGAGTTCAAGGAGATCAATGATCATCTGTTTAAATGCAGTGCACGAGGTGCGCATTATTCAAGCAATATATTTCTTGGAAAAAAAATAAGGCAATACTGATATTTCTGGACCTGAGCCCAGGAAGAAAGCCATTTGTAATGAAATACCTCTGAAAAAAAAAATAATAAAAAAAAGATGCTTTGTAGTATCAGGGCTCTTCTGTTGTTTTGGATTACTTTTCAAGAGGGACTTAATCGGTTTAGCACTCCTGACTTGCTCAGCCATCCACCTTTTCACCTCTATTTTGGGGGGTAAAAACTGGTGATTTGTGCAGATGCAGAATGGCACTGCCTGGCCTGACTGCTCCATACAGAGCAGTCTGAAACAGAAGAGTTTGGATTACTCTAGGTTAAAGTAATGAGATGATGTGCAGTAAAGAGTGCTTTTCTTTTCTGTTGTTCAGGTTTTCTTTCAATCTGAGAGTATTGCAAAGTGATAATTTTCAGTGCCAAATCATACTGCCAGTTTCATGGTGTTCAGTATTATGGTGCATAGCAGCCCTGGAATAGCTGTTTTGGCCTTAGGTTTGGCCTTATCATCTGACATTTGAAAAATGAGGCATTTCTAATGGTTTCAGATAAATATCTATCTCTGTGCTGCCTAGTTTTGGAATACTGTTTCCAGATGGTTTTACTTTCTCCAGAGTCTGGTCAGTGGGATGGGTTTACGTAGGTGGCAGGTGGCGTGAAAGGAATTACTCTGTAGACTGCTTACTCCAGGCCTCCTACTTCATTCCCATGACTTCTCTTTTACCTTGAATCCTGACACCTTCACCATGAAAACCCATTTTCATTGAGCCAAACAGAAATGCTGCTAGGCCCTTTGAGGAGCTTTGCTTTTCATTTACGAGAATATGGAGAGTTTGTAGAGCCTACATGACTTTCAGCTCAAGCTTTCTGGAGATATTTAATCAGATGGTGTTTTAGAGGTACCATGAAAAATAGGTTGTTCCTTTTCAACTTGAAGTGATGGGAAAGGCTTGGGAGTTCGCAGGTACTTTTGTTGAAAGCATGGCGTTGAACTGATACCTACTACTCTTAACACCTGTGTGGCACCCAAGTAGCAGCAGAGGTCGTCCTGTGTGTGTTGGGTTCATGTGGCAAGGCTGGCGGTGACCTCTGCGAGACCAGTGCGGTGAAATGCTGCAGGAACACTGGGAAAGAAAACAGACTCACAAGTATTCATGCAGGTACCTGTAAAAAGTTGCTAGAAGGAAAAAACTGCAGCGTCTCTGTCAGATTTCTGATGGAAGGAGTCCTTTATGGATGAGGATTCGGGTCAGTGGGCATCCCTCAGGTCCCAGCCCGAAGCGAGGTGCAGCAGCCCCTGTGAGCAGGTAGGAGGGCAAGCTTCCCCCGCCTCCCACCCAGCTCAGCCTTGTTCAGCGAACCATCTCGACACCTTTCATCCATTTCTCAGACATCGCTTTTTGAGCAACCTCCCCTTGTAAAGAATATAGCAGTTTCAGGGCCTGTCAGGGCCTTCAGATTATTCTTCTTATTATTATTCTTTCCAGTGGAAAAGAGGATTTTGCTAGGTGCAGGCTAGCCTGTAGTGAGGTGCCCCTCTCCATTTGTAACATTTTTGGCATTGAATATTCAATAAATGACTGCTGCTTTAGTGCAAAGTGCAGGACAGAGGCTTTGCATTTAACGTGTGATATATCTCCCTTATTAAAAGGCTTTTAAAGTATCTATAAAACAAAACAAAACAAGCCTCTTAGAAGAAGTTGGGGTGTGTTATCTAAATGCCTCCTAATTAGCTACACCATTAAAGAAATAAATTCCCCCTTAAAGAAATGAAGATAAAATGTGGAGAAAAGAGGTAAATGGAGGCATCACTGATTTCTTTTCCTTCAAAAAGATATATATATTTTTGGTAAACAAAGTTGTGGAACATACTTCTTAATGTTTTGAAAAAGAGGATAAACACTGTCAGCTAGCCAGCCAGTAGGAGTTTATTCACATTTAATCAAATATAATGAGGTGGTTAAATTGCTGGAGCTATGTCTAGAGCTACTATTTATATTACCAAACATGTTCTGGGGTCCAGGATCCTCTTAAAGTTTTATGTAATTTGTGAGAACTGTGGAGCAGAGAGGAAATAGTGGAGGTGGAGACCTTATTTCCATCCCAATCTTTCTATGGAGAGTTATTTAATGACACGCAGTTCTCAGTTTTCTCTTAATTTTGTTTCAAATGCAAACTTACCAGAATTTCTCAGTCTCCACAGGGGCAGGAGTAGCAGCACCATGCAGCCCGGGGTTTGGGCTCCCAAGGGAGTAACTCCCCACCTGGTTCTGCGGTCACCATGGGCGCCGGCCTCTTTGCCTCTGGTGTTTTCTTCTTGTGTGGATTGTGGCCAGGTGCCACAAGACTTGGTTTTCAGCAAACCCATACTTGAGAGCCGGTACTGGAGCAGAAAGGAGCCTGCTAATGAAAAAGTGATAAAATAGTGTTTTTTCAGGAGTGTTCGTAGCCTGGGATGTCTTCAGCATGTGTCATTAAACATCGCTCACCAGCCTGGTATCTCTTAATGCTCTGCTTGCTGAGGGAAGTGTCGGGCAACCAAGGAGAAACTTGGCCTTGTCCTGTGAGAGCCTTGGAGACCTTGCTGTGTGTGCTCAGAGTTCAACAGGCTGTTAGCCTGGGAAACTGGGTGTTTGGGGTACCATGGGAATTAGTGTTCCACCTGCCTTTTAAATTGCATTGTGTTACATCGCCTGCAGTGCTATTTATTGCTAATGTCTATGCTTTTAGTTCACTGGGGAAAAAAAATGAAGTTTTTGCTTGTTAACATATTTTTGATAAATAGATAACAGTTCATTGCAAAATTTTCTTCTGATATATTATTTATTTATTTATTTTGCATTTGCTTTTAGCAGTAGGAGCTCTCAGCTGCACTGTGTTCTTAATAGCCAGGCTGCTTGCACAAGAAGCAGTCCCTGCTCTGAAGTGCTGCAAGTGGAGCAGACAGAGAGGAAAGCACCAAGAGGTGAAACGGCCATTTCAAGGTTATCCAGGAGGTCACTGGCCAAGCCCAAATTGGAGCTCAGCTCAGGTCCAGAAAGCACAGTCATGCCTGCCTTCTGCTGCTAAACAGCATTTAGGAGACCCCCCCTGTGTGACTGGATGCATCCCTGTCGCCAGACAGCTAAATGCAGGTCAGCAGCCTGCACAGCAGAAAGGCAAGAACGCTGGTTTTGGCTGGATGGCTTTATGAGCTGCTAGACATGTCTGTTTTCTGCATGCTGTACAGAGTACTGACAAATGCCTTTCTGATTTTGCTCCGTAAAGGGAAAGCACTTCATGTGTAGTAGCTTGGGCGCAGGAGGCTGACAGTGAGCACAGCTCAGAAGAAAATACAAAGGGCTGCAATGAAAGCTGAGCTCTGCAATATCTCTCTTTTGTATTTTTCTCTTAAATTCCAATTCCTATTACCTAATAGCTGCCATGGCTAAATAAAGGATAGGGGCTGAGAAACATCGCAATCTTCGAACAGAGACTGAACGTACAAGGGGCACCCTTATTAATCTCAAGTGCAAACAGCATGTGACCCCTCGTACAACATGCAGAGATCTAATGAAGGATACTCATAGCTTTATTGTACCCTAAAAATTTATCAGGCTATGTTTGTCATAAGCAGACCAGATTAAGAAGAATGAACTGGTTCTTTTTAGCAACATTTAATGCATATTTTTGTTTTCCTGCCTTGGTCTGATTTTGCTTAGAGATATTCCCTGCAAGCTCTCAGTGAGAAGTCTACTAATTTTGGCACAAAGTCACCCAAAGCCCACAGGCAAGTCGGTCTGTCATCCGCTGAGTCAAATCCTATGTGTCAAACTGAGTTATGAGGCAACTCAGCATCTTCTCTCCAGTTCTAGCCTTGAGTTTTATTTTCTTCATATCCTAAAGTGAAACCATGTGAGTACAAAAGCAGTTTTTCTAAGACTGTGCTCTCAGTTTCCTTAGTTCTACTACTACTAGCACAACATCTACCACATAGCTAATACTAAGACTGATCTGTTCCCACCTCATTTCTCTATTTTCTGCATTTAACTTTTAAAACTAGTATCCAGCTTTAATTCTGATGCACAAACCTACATACAGTAAGCCTGTAACCAAGCCACATTAAAAATGCCAACGCGCATCACGTTGTACCTGCAGCAGTCTCTAAGAATTAGTGCATTCCCTTCCCGACACGCAGCCGTGCCAGCACAGCAGTGCCCTCTCTCACACTCACTTGCATCACAGTTCAGTGCCTGTCCTGTCTGCCTCTGCACGCTTCCAGCATCAAGAAAAGAGCATAAAGCAAATTAGGACAAATTTTACAGGTTGAAGTATTCAATATGAAACAGGGAACAATGGACAATACTAAAAAGAATGCAACAGAAATATTGCTGAAATGTACAAAGAGATGCTCTTTTCCCCATAACAATGAATTAAAATATTTCACAGTAGTGTTGCATGTTGTATAATGAAATAAGAACTAAACTAAGAAGTGGAAAAATAAGAACTAAATTAAGAAATGAGTGAAATAGGAACTAAACCAGGGTGCACTTCATTGGAGTTACTGCTCAGACGAAACATTCCTATTCCTTGCTTCCTAAGGGCAGAAATCCAGTTGTTCCCCAACAGCCTGTGGAAGAAGTAGTCATTTCCCAGGGATTTTCAGCTGAGATGTTCTCAGAGTGCCACAGGAAGGCTTCTTGTCGCTGCACCTGCTCAGAGCCAGCTCCAGGAAGGACTCTCCCAACCTTCCATGTGCTTTCTGCAGTGGTGTCCTGGCTGCTTCAGAAACTTCAGCCCGCAGTTCATCTTGTGTGTTTGACAACTTTACTGCAGGATGGGAATAAGTATGCCCAAGAGGCTCTGCTCCTTCTCTGCTGATTATAAAGGGAGCCATGACAACCAGCTCGGCAGCAGACATCTGGATTCAATTAGACGAATCCCAACTACCTGCTCGTCCAGAGAGATCTCCTTAGGGCTGTCAAAAAGGGTTGAAACTGCTCCTGCTCGCTTGCTTCCCCTCCATTTTGGAGGGGGTTTATACAAATGTCATGCTGTTCTATTTAAAAAGGCATTCTCGTCATAGGAATGTGTCTGGCCTAGAAGCATATTTTTTATTTATTCAGAATAATGAAAAACTGTTGGATGGGAATTTCTAATGGTATAAATTTGGTAGTTGTTCAGTTCGATGTGCAGCGATTGCCAGGTGACGTTTGGGGGTTTGGTTGCATGATTATTTTAATTATATTTTTATCTGTTAGTGTGACTGTCATCTGTAGTGCATTGCGTAACGTTTTCAACATTTTTTTCCCTTCTCTTCTGTCAGTTTTCTTTATTTCCATATCACATGCATTACCTACAGGTGTATAAATGACTGGAAATCTTGATAAGAGAGGATTAGATGTGAAATACTTTTGACCTCACAGCTGAAAGGGTATCTATAAAATATATATTAACTTTATTCATTTATTTGCAAAGTAATAAATCCTTACTTCTGAAAACAAATGTGTTTTACATCAGTTTGAGTACTGCAGTTCTTCAATTTCCATCTTTCAAAGGGAAGCAGGATTTCGGAAGTTGCAGATTGCCAGTCACTGTTCATTTTTAATCCCTTCTTTTTGTGTATGTGCAGCTGCTGAGAATCAGAAGTTTTTTTAGAAAGCTCACAAATATAGCTGCTTATTTGGATTAGGGACGGATGAACAGCTGAGCTGGAAATCGGAAGTATTATGCTAGTTTTGCTGAGCGAAACTCAAATGCAGCAGATTTTTGTTTCTTTACTCTCAGGAATTGCATTGTGTTCTTTTTAAGCTTCCTAGCAACTGCACAGCTTTGTTACACATGATGATGTTATAATTATGTTTTAATATGAAATCTGTGATGCTGTCCTGACAGTGTCATGCAGACACAGTAGTGCAGAAGCATGGGACTCAGTAGGCAGGATCCCTCTCTGGCTACCTCAATAAAATTTACACAGAGCTGAACAGGATTTAAGGAAAGTCAAAGCTCTAACTTATAATTTCTCATAATAATTTTCTTAAATGATAATTTCTTTTAATAATTTTCATATAGTTGCTATCAGTTCCACTTGTTCTGTCCAGTGCATAGATACGGTGTTTCTCTGCACAACCCGATCTGGATCAATAAAATCTTTCAGTCTGTTTCAGATCTGTCAGGCACAAAGTGGAAGGAAATAGTCCACAGAGCTGTGGAAATCCTCCTGGCAGTTCAAGCTCCATCGGCACAGAATACCCTTGTGAAGACTGCCTTGTGAATACTTCACACTGAGCTCTGCTTGTGGTGTGGTGTATAGCGTAGTGTCACAGATCCACACGGCGATGGGTGAGAAAGAGAGGATCTTATTTTCCAGTCATAATATTGTCCTTGCAGAGTAGGGAGAATCTTGTTTTGAGCTCAGCTAACAGGTCATTTGCTACCCGAGAGCTGGGAGGAGTGAAGATGTCGGCAGCTCCCCAGTGGAGAAGCTGCTCACCCCCTGAGCAGGAGGGTGCTGCCATCGCGCCCAGCCTGGCAGCCCTGTGCAGAGCTACTGCTCTGAGCCTCAGCATGGGAACTCGTGTTCATGGAGTTTCTCCACTGAATGCTTATTAGCAAAGAATTTGCTTTAAAACTACATGAAGGCATAACAGCGAGGGGTTTGTGTGGTTTTAGTTTTGTCAGCTCCAGCGGTACTCAAGGGAAGGGCTTTGGCACAGCCGCCTGCGTAGCTCAGCTCAGAGCCCCCCAGCAGGGTGGGCAGAGACACAAGGAAGCCTCTGGAGGTTTTACCAGCTCCCTTTTGGGCCTAGGGGACCTGTTGGTCCTCGCCTCTTCCAGCAGGCCGGTGAGGTGAGCAGGGGCTGATGCCTGATGCAGGAAGAAGCCTCGTGCCACGCTGGGCCCAAAACTGAGGCAGCCATCAGGAGCGTGAGGCTGCCTGCTGCCAGGGCCGTGTAGTTAATCGTGAATCCTGACCTATGCTCTCGTGTACAGCAGCTGGTTTGTCGCATGGTGCAAGTGCCACGTTTACTTCACTGGGGAGTTTATGTATAGCTTGAGTTCTGTATACGTTAAGGTAACACAAAATCAATGGCTTATGCTCTGGCCTATTGCTCCGGTAGGGCACCGAACACTGTAAGGCACAGATCTCCACAGGCTGGTAAGCCCATCAGTAATATCAGCTTGCCTCTTTCTGTTTTATACTCTGATGTGTTTTACTGAAAGGTTTTTATAAAAAAAATACTGTAGTAGTGTTTTTTTAGGTGAAAAATACGTTCCTGAGCCCTTCATATACTGCTAACAATAAGACAACTCTCTCTCTCTCTCTCTTTTTTTTTAACAGTTTATGAATCTGTTAATGTATTTTCACTTCTAGTGGGAAATATTGAGAATTTTTATAAAAGCCACTTTGATTTTCATTAAACTTCTGTATCCATATATTTCAGAAAAAAGTCTTCACCACTTGATTCAGTATTTTTGCAGTTGCTGCTAAGCATTCAAAGCCACACTGGTTCCTGAAAGAGGCAAGTTAGCTGTTGGGCCGTTACCTCTGCTCCTTGCATTTGCTGAGTTGGGTGCCAGACCTCCTACTTGTGCTAAAACTGTCACTTTGCTGTGAAATTCCTGCTGGTATGGCAGGGTGGAGCATGAACAGGGGACGAGTCTGGCAGCTCTAGCCCTGAATTGTGCTCTTTAGATGACGCTGCCTGAAGAATTGTGGCAAATACAGCAGAAGTGGAAATGTTTGTTTGTTTTTGGAGACACTGTGACCAGAGGAAATGAAAACTATCTAGCTTGGTCCTGAGAGGTTAACAGTATGTTAAAAATGTCTGATGTATAAAATGGGGTTAAATACTTCACATATTTCAGCATGGAGAAATACATTGTGAATTCTAGAAGAGTTATTAACTGTGTGCTGTGAACATAGCTCGTGTAACAAAGCCCTTCCTTACTGTAGTTTAAAGGTTGATATAAAAGGATCTTTGTTGAGTAATGACATTAGTCTTGGTTTTCAGTGTTTTCTGCCATCCAGATTTAGCAGAAGAAAAAAGCAAATAAAATGTGAGAAGCTGAAGAGAAGCTTGTGACATAGCTGAGAAGATCATACTACACTTGGGAAATGGTTAAATATTCTTGCTGTTAAAAAAGTGTGTGCTAGAATTAAATATATTTTATTTAAAAATGTTTACGGGGCATATATTAGTTCAGGGAATCTCTAGTTTTGCAATTTAATATGTATCTTACTTGAAACATGCAGTGTAAATACAGAAATTTGGGTAATTTCTCTGGATGACTGTGTTAACAGATGCTCAGTTCTTAAGTTAATTGTGGCAGTGAATGATCTGACTGTTGTATTTGTCTTAAAACCCATTACGAGTAAAAGTTGCTTTCTCAAAGCCTGTGCATCTACGGAAATGTGTTAAATTTATTGCTCAGAACATCCATAAGAAGGTTTTTGAGAAACTCTAGAGAAAATCTTGTAGATTTAAATAAAGGGATTTTGAAGGGGGATTTATGCTCAGTTTTGGAGTTTATTTGCTTTCAGACTAGAAGAGGTAGCTGGAGATAAACAATGAGTCCTCCAAAACCTGAAGGAAAACGTGTCTTAACATCACTGAAAGCGCAGCACCAGGTTAAGGCTCTGAAGCATTAGTCTTTCTTTAGCCAGAGCATCTATTAATATAGCTCTGCTTGTCATAAAGAGGGAGGTCTCAAGGGCTCCAAGCCGGGTGGCTGGGAGGGAGGGAGGGGATTTAGGACTAACAGGTGGTCTCGAGACGAGCTGGCTGACGCTGAGCTCAGAGCCGGCGTGCTGTGTGCGGGCACTCGTGGGCTCTCCTCTCGCAGTCTGGTCGTGTGGGTCTGCTCTCCCTGATGTAGCTGGAGAGCCCTTTCAGACATGGCAATACGAAGTGACTTCAGCAAAACCATCAGGAGGATTGCTCGTTTTTTTTACTGGTTTCCTAAATCATGGAGCCGGTCAAGGAAAAGGACGGTAAAACTTCTTTGGAAGTCTGCTGGTAAGTCTGCTGCTCTGCTTCTTAAGACATTTTTTTCCTGCTAAAAAGAAATTCAAAGGGAAAAATAATTTATTTCCATTCAGCTTGTTAACTTTCCCAATCCAGCATTGTTTTGCGTTTTTCCATTCTCTGAGGCTCATTAGGGAAAACTGTAAAAATATTTTGTAGATGCAATGGAAGTTTCATTGCTCAGCTGAAGAATCCCCTTGCAGCCTTGTAATTTATTCCTATTAACGTTCATGTCAGTGATATTTGGTGTCCCACTTTTACAGAGCCTGTTTCTCCCTCAGGTATGTAAATAGGAGCTCTGATGTGACTCGAATACCTTCCAGATTTTTTTATTTATTTTTATTTTTTTTGGAATTTCCTTAGCCGTTCATTTATCTGCAAGGCTACGTGGAGTTAGAGTTGATTAAGACCTTAACTCAATGTATCAGCATTCGCACAAAGCGATGGGCAGTTGAGAGAGGGCTGGTGTTTGGCAGTGTTATGCTACCCGTAATTCCCATTTAGTCATCTGAAATGACGTACCACTCGGCTCATCAGTTAGTAGAAGTCATTGCTTCTAAAGATGATTTGGTCTTTGATCCTTGTCCAGTCCTAGCGGAGAAGCATTTGCCTCTCCCAGATTAACATCCTTTCAAACAGCCTTAAAGCCCCAAAACTGTTGTATCCCTTTAGAATTGTGTAAAACCTGGCTTTGAGGCAGTTCTCAGGGAGTTTGGAGAAAACATCCACTCCCCTAGGAAGCTGAATTCAGTCTGTTATTCTTAGAAGTGTCATTATGCAAGACAGAATTTCTTTTGATGAGGACTATTTTGTCTCAAGTGATGAACTTTTTGATTCTGTGAGTATTACAATATTAACACCAAATTTCAGTTTGTGTATGGTGGGATTTGGGTTAATTGTGCAGCTGAACAAGTTTTATGAATCTGAGTCAGGAAGGACAAAGTTGGACAATCTGAAGTCTGTCACAGAAATGTTGTTGGGCTACATGTCTAAGTGGCATGTGAAGGAGTGCATGGTTTTCAAGCATCCAGCGCTGGGAAAATTCCAGCTTGTTGAGGTCTGTGGCAAAACTTTCTTTGACTGAAACTCAAACCTCTGTTTGAACATTGATTATCTGAAGTCTTTTGATACATCAAGTTATCTTGAGTCCTCATTAGCATATCAGATCATTCATGTGTCTCTGTTCTTATTGTCAGAGCTTAAGTAGTTGAGAATATGTCAATAAATGCTATCGAGAGCTCTAATTACTAACTGAATTACTTATATGTGAAAATCTTTATATGCTAGTTATCTTTTCCCTCTGTACTGCAAATTAATACTTTCATTAATACAAATTAATATTTTCACCCATGAATTGTAATAAGCAACGATGTGAACTTTGAGTTTTTTAAAAATAGTATTTTTTGTATTTTTTCTCCCATTTTCCTCTACATGTAGAGGTTTGAATAAAATTTGCCTTTCTACCCTCATTTTATTGTATGTATTAGCATCTCTTGAACTGAAATCGTAAGTAATGTCAGAAGTTCCCTCCATGTCATCTACCCATACAATGAGAAGATTATCACAAAAATTGTGGTTTTAGTGAAAACACTGCATTTTAGCACAAGGTGGCATTTGGAAAACAAACAAACAAACACAAACAAACAAGTACAAACAAAAAACAAACAAACAAACAAAAAAAACTGTGTGAAAATCCACCTCAAACTTTATAGAAGCCAAACACTTCAAGCACTTAAAACCTGGAAGCTGAAGTCCTAGTGCCTGTGTCACAGAGGAGTGGATACTATTAGATTTTGCACCAACGATTCCTGTTTGGTCTTCGGGAAGCCAGCAAGTTGCATGAAACCCAAGCCACACCAAAGTCAAAGGACATTTCTGTCTTTTACTTGAGTGACCAGAATTTTGGTTGGATTCCTGAGTGATTACCAAATTACTCACATGCATGCTTAACTCTGAAACACCACATTTTAGTAGTCTTTTAACCAAGCTCCCTTCATGGGTCCTTTTGAGAGTTCCCTAATACATAAGCCTGGTCCAAGCAGTATTGACCATCTGTTTATGTTCTTACAAAGGGACACCTACCCTCACAGAGTCGCAGGATGGCTGAGGCTGGCAGGGCCCTCTAAAGGCCACCTGGTCCAACCCTTGCCCAAGCAGGGCCACCCAGCGCAGGCTGCCCAGGACCACATCCAGGTGGCTTTTGAAGATCTCCAAAGAGGAGACTCCACAGCCTCTCTGGGCAGCCTGTGCCAGTGCTCAGTTGCCTGCACAGTAAAGTAAAAAAAAATAAATGCTTCCTGATGCAAATTCTAGATTTTTCAATTTTGTTATCTCCACCTCCGTGTCTTTCTGCCAATTTTTGTTCATGTAATGGTGTTAAGAGGATTTTCTGGTTAGGTCAGCCAGGATGAGCCAGCAGAATAAATCTGCATGGCTAGTCATGTTCCACGGCTCAAAACCCAGCTAATAATTAAAGCTTGCAATAATGCTCACTGATAGCTTTTAGCCACTTACACTTTAACAAATATGCTGTTGTTGAAACAATAATTTAAGAGAAACTTTCATGTTTTGGATGTACTACAAATAATAGAGATGAATTCTGTAATACGCTTTGCCATAGAAGCAATATCATCAATCTTCAGAATGAAGAGAGGCACTGTGCCTCTGTGCAGACGCTTTGCTTTCCTTCTGCTCCCACCACTCCATGTCTCTCAGTATTCCTTGTCCTCCCCTTTCCTGATGAGAAACAAAATCTGCTGAAGCATAAAATCAGTTTTTAAGTATGAGAATGAATTTGGTACTGCTGTAGGTAATTATGTTCAGAAAGTTGCATTCAGTGCAATTTTAGAAAGATCTATCAAAGCATAATGAGGTTTCTGTTCCTAAAAATACATAGCTTTCCAGCCTTTCCTTCGATGGATGCTTTGGGATCACTGGCCACAGACTGTTGCTCGCTGCTAAGATACCCCTTTCTGCACTCTAAAAGAAGAAAGAAAATTCTAGGGTGGTGCTCAGTAACTGGTTTTGATTACATTACTTATCAAAGGGCTAAAATAATACTTTAGATGTGGTTCAGAGTATGCGAAATGTAGCTGATAATGTTTTAAGTGCACTTAGTTTAATCATGGGTATATAACATTTTCTAAGAGGCTTGAACTATGGGCCGTAGTATTTAACATTCTGTAGCCTTTATTTCTTTGAAATACATTTGGATTTTTTTCCTACAAAATTCTCATAGAATTTGTGCTGACAAGTCATAGGACTAGAGGTCTTATGATAAAATATATAACCATCAGTCATGAAGAGGTATTGAAGCACAAAGGAATTAGAAATAGGAATCAGAGAGAACTTTGATAGGGCTATAGAAATCTATGATCAATAAAGACAAAACAGACAGGCATTTTCTCTGTTTTACAGCAGAGGATTAAGGCAAGGGGTGAAAAAATTAAAGCAGCTAAAAGAAGCCTTTCTTTCTTTCTTTCTTTCTTTCTTTCTTTCTTTCTTTCTTTCTTTCTTTCTTTCTTTCTTTCTTTCTTTCTTTCTTTCTTTCTTTCTTTCTTTCTTTCTTTTTCTTTTCTTCAAAATATAATTAAATTGTAGAGCTCATTACTAGGGGACGCTGCTGAGGTCAGGAATGTAACAAGATTTAAAGAGGGTCTGGAAAAGTAAGAATATTCAATCTTATGACAATTGAAGCTGCAAGAAAGGCTTTGAAAGAAGCATAAATCATCTTGCTTCAGTATTTAAGCTAATTTTTAACAATTAGGGATTAGTCTGAGATAATTTTATGGCTCAGATCCCACAATTGTTGTTTCTTGCAGTTTCTTCTGAAGCAGCTAATGCTTATCCCTAGCAGAGACAACCTTAGGATCTGAATTGATTTAATCCTTCTTCAAATTTTTCAAGCTTGTACAGAAAAAAAAACAAAAACCATGTTATTAAAACATGTTAAATATTTTTGACCTGTTCAGAAAAGCGTCCCATAACATCCCGTGGAGATGCAAATGAAAACATGAAAAGCACAACTCTTGCTATCATTTTTCTTACTTTGACAAAATTGCCCTGGTGCAAACCCTGCTTGCTTTGGAGCCTCCATAATAAGTAAGTAAGTAAATAAAGTCAGTCTGAGGTGGAAGTTTTTGTGCATCCATTTCTTGCCAAACCCTACTGACTCATTAAGACCTTCTTGCTCAGTTCTCAGCTAGTGAGGGTTCTCAACAGTTTGAGCTACTGTCCCACTGGGTATGTAGGAAGGCTCCTTCAGAGGACAAAAAGAGGGAATTTATTGACAAAAACTTTAACCAGATTTCACACAGTCTGAAGCTGATGTTTATTCTTCACTGTTGGTTGTTTTTGTGTGTGCATGTGTTTGATTTTTCTGCCCTAGTGCTTTAGCCTTTTAGCCCTATAACATTAAAGCCAGTAGATTATTTCTTATCGACTTTGAAGGCTTTTTTTTTTGTTTGTTTGGAATGATCATGGGTCCAATATAAAGTTATGTTTCTGCAAGAATATGTGTTTTGAAAAATAAATGGAAACATATACTGAAATGTAGTGCTGTCCCTTAAATTGGCTACCTCCTAAACGAATTCATGTGTAATAATTTAAAATTTTCTGCAAACTGATCAGACAATTATATCCAAATTATATCCAGCTGACCAAATAAACCTATAACAGACATAGGAATAGAGAACATGAAATAATTTTAGTGTGGTACATCAATTTCAAGAGGCTTAGTTTAAAATATTTGTGAATTCATTTCTTATTTTTGTATTGGCCAACTAATGAATTGTGGTGTATGGTGTGAGTGCTGACGTCCTCATGTAACCTCTTTAATTGAGCCGTGCTGGAAATGCTTTGGTTATGTAGAGGAATCATGTGCTTACCCAGCATTTGTGAGACTATGAGGCTGGGAAATTAATGAGCAGCTGAAGTCACTGTATTTCTCTGTTCTTGTCAAAACACGGTTGGTTGAAAGAGATTGAAATACG